TATTAGGAATGCTATGTTTTTTTTAAATTAAAAAAATTCCACTGAAAACTTCTTTTTTAGGTTTTTGATTTCGTCATTTATGTAAATATTTGTATGTATATATTTACAAGCATAAATTATGTAAAACTAACACTTGAATTTTTCTTTTTTCTTCAGTTTAGTTAACTAAAAAATTTGAAAAACATTAAATAAAAAACAAAGCGTGAGATATGTTATGATGTCAGGGCGAAGAACCCTTTATTCAATTTATGTTTTTCTTTTTTTTTATGTAGCATTGGACTCAAAAATTTTCATTGACGATTATTGTTTACATTAATAAAATATACAAATATATGTATAAATATGTATATTTATACATGCATTTTTTTTATGTATATACAACATATGTGCATAATATATTCTGTGATATTACCAAACTGAATAAAAAAGAATTCAATTAATATGTGAAACTGACAGTTCTTGACATAGGATTTGATTTTTTTTTTAAATGAAAAATAAAATTTTCATGTCTTTTAACAAATATATACGTACGTATATATATCCTTTTATTTTTTGGGGAATTCCAAGCATTTTCCATAGTTCATAAAAAATGTACGAAGAATTTCGTCTTTCATCATACAGACTAAAATAATACCCTATAAATTGGTATTATTATATTATTCATTGTTTTGAAAAATTTTAAAATTTTAATATGCACTATTCAACTATTTCAGTTGAATTTTCGATTGTAATGAAATTATCTAAAAAAAAATTAAATTAATTTTTTTTTCTCAAGAATATTTGTGCGTTTAACCTTTAAACCTCACCCGATTAAGTGTGTTCTTCTATAAAACTTTTTTAATTTATTTGACCTTAGGCAACTAAAAATGTTTGTTTTCTATGCTCGTATCTTTTTTCTTTTTTTCTCTCTTTAATCACTCAACGTTAAAAACATGAACTCTAAGTTAAATGAAGTTGCCTATAATCAACTTTGATAAAGCTGTCCGAGGCAATTTAGTTCTGTTATACAGATTTTTTTTTTTCAATAGTCTACTTTATAATTTTATAATAAGCCTATATATTTAAATATATGTGTATAAATTTGTTATATATATAACCCCTAATACCTAATATGATCTCACCCAATTTAAAAAGTACATGACGTATTTTTAATATTTTATGCTTTGTTGTGTTGGTCCCATTTTGTTTCCATTACTAATTATGTACACATGTATGTATGTATAAACTCTAATCAATATAATATATCAACTTACTTGAACATTATTTAAGATCACAACTTTTATAAATTTATTAAGTATTATATGTATGATTTCATACATGACTTACACACGTGTAAGCTTATATAACAATATTATAAACACCAGTTAGTCATTATAGTAAGTATATGTATATAATAACAACATAAACATGTGTACGTATTATGTACTTAATTTGTTCACATGTTTATGATGTTTCTCAATTTATTCTAAAAAGAAAAAAAAAATAACTAACTAGCTATTTGTACAAATTTTTTTAAATATCAAAAAATAATTTTCAAAGCTTTATTTTGATAAGTAAATTGTTTGTATACATTTCAAACTATAAATAAAAAATTGTGAAAAATAATGTTTAATAACACACTCTGTAGGATGTTGCTACAAAATTCAATTGAAATTTCAATTAAAATTAATGCTTCAATATTATTTAATCCAAATTAGTTTAAATATCGTTAAAATTTAATTACCATTTTACAATGCAAATATCGCCAAACTAAATTTTATTTTTCTACAAAATATCATCTTCTATCAATTTTATAGTGCTTTCAAATGGAATGGCAGCTTCATTTTTCAAATATGAAGATAAACGGTTAGACATTAACATACCTGGAAAAATGTAAATTCGGCAATTTGTTCAGTTTCCCAGCTCTCATCTTTCAAAAAAATTTATAGGTTCTTTTTTTTAACACTCCGAATTGGAATATTAGATTTCAAGGAAATTGCTTGATTTTTTCTTTTTATATGCGCAAAAATGTAAAATCGGGAAAAATCCAGTTCCCTAAGCCTGACATATCCCAAAATTGATCAATCCGTAGAATAGTGAAAAGAAAATTACATAAAATTTCACCAAAATCGGTTCAGCAAACTTGAGATACATGCGTTCACACAAAATTGGAAGACCGACATCTTGTTAAAAACAGTTTATTTATAATTTTATGGAGAAGTGTAAAATTTGTTGCCATCACTGGTCGATAAAAATTATCACTAATTTGTTAATGTAATAATTTCTAAGATCTGAACATAATATTTATACGTGAGTGTATATGATTTGAAGCTTTATTCTATAAATATATAATATATCTATATATATATATATATATATATATATATATATATATATATATATATATATACATAAATAGCATATGTATACATAAATAGCTTTAAATGTACAATACCAAAGAAATAAACTAAATTTATTTGGAATAACTAAATACCAAAATTTTTAACTCGATTCTAAAGTATTGAGTAATGTCTTATTTTCAAAGCCAAAAATGTGAAAATGTTTTTAATTGCTATTGAAGTATGTCAGGTTCTTTTCAATTAGGAAGTTTTATATAAACGTTTTGGTCTATTTAATTTCGATTGACTAGTCTGCCAAACGAAGTTTGAATTTTGAAGCTTGACAGGCATCCTGTGCGTCGCCATTACTAATGTACATAAAATTTTTATTGAAATATTAAAATTTCATATACTTATTTAGGTGGATTAATTCCGAAAAACTTTTTATGACATGTTAACGCAGGTATGGTAATTCCCTAGCACAAATTGAACTTTCAATTTGTGCTAGGGGAATTTTAAAATTGGAAAATTATCGATGCAGCATCGATGTAAGTATTGTAAATTATCTAAAAATCATGTACAAAAATGCATCCACGCAATAACACTTATTTTTCAAAAGTTATCGGAATTAAAAATTATTCTTCAATAGATTTTTGATTGTTGATTATTTTAACACTTTTGAACTAAATAAAAAATTGTCCTAAAATGTCAAAATAATTTTGCATCACATCGGCACTTTCCGATTATACCTGTACTTATATTATTATGTGCGATGTGTACCGAAATATTATTGTGTTATAAATTTTCTTATACATCAAAAAGAGCCATCTCGCTCTTTAATATTCAACATTCGTGTTCATTTGAATTGAAGTGATTGTAAAATAACAAAATTGAAAATAAAAGCAGAACAACAAAAATTTGTGTGATTTTTTTTAAGTAGGAAATAATGTGAAAAAAATATGCGTATTAAGTTGGAAAATATACATATGTATGTAAATAAAAAATGAAATATGTATTATGTATATAAAAAGGAGCTTTTCAAATTTGGCGCTCCTTTATTTCTTATCACAATCTGAAAGTATAAAAATAAAAGAAAAACGTTGTGCGGCCAATCGAATTACTAATCCCGGCAACATTGATTACTTATTCATACATACATAGTTGGCTATGTTTTGATTGTGTCTATAAGGTTGAATAATGTCGTAAAGTGTGTAACATATAGAAAAATCTGATGTGATCAGTATATAACCGAGCGCAATGTATGCTGTCTAGATTTAAAAGTATTCAAGAAGATTATGAAAATTCGTTTTAAACACTTCTTTACAATTTTAAGGACACTAATAAGCTTTTAGTTAACATACTTAGAAAAATGTGAATTTGGTTTTTAGAAGAGTTTCATTTTGTGTTCTCCGAATTATACGAAAAGTTCGTCAGAAACTTCTTGTAACAACTAGAACTCAAATATTAAATTTCAAGAAATTCTATCAATTCGCTCCGTAGATATGGTAAAAAAGGTAAAACCGAACCCTCAGATCAGTTTCCGAGCCCTGATCTTTCCAAAATATTTATGGGTTCATTATTTTACCACCTCGAACTTAAATATTAAATTTCAGTGAAATCAGTTTATTATTTCACTTTATATATGCAAAAAAGTATATTTGGATCGTAGTCAACGACAACGGTGATGCCTCATTTCTTCCAAAGTTAGAAGGTGTCACATATGGACTGATGAAGCTTATGTATAAAATTCGTTAAATATTTTCCTTACCAGACTTTTCGTGCATATAAATAAATGTTTATAACTTCGGAACCATACAATATAGATTTATTATTGGGAGCTTGTTTCACAGGCGATTGATTGTTCTTTATTTTTGGCCTTACAATTAATTTAACTTGAGCCATAGTTTTCGAGATACAGCCTGTGAAACTCAGAATTTTCTTTTTTTTTTTTTTTTTGAAATTTTTCTTACAAAACTTGAAATGACTTAAAAATTTTTGTTATTTATACCCGTACGAACGTATGTTCGAATAATTGAGCTAAGTTCACCAAATTTTTATTGTATTCACTAAATTTTATTACTGTTACACAAATGATTTATTGTAGTAAGTGCCAGAACCCTATTTAAATTGGACTTGATCGGCTATATCTCTTTATTTGCCTATATCTCAGAAACTATAAAAGTTGTGGTATTGAAATTTCACACAAACGAATATATTAGTAGGGCCAATGTGTCTCATAAAAGTCGTTGAAATTGCTTGGCTCCTTCTGGTAGCTGTCGTACAACTTCAAAAGTTATTTGGCTATATCTCAGAAACTATAAAAGCTGTGGTATTGAAATTTCACACAAGCAAATATATTCGTAGGGTCGATGTGCTTGATAAAATTTTGCATAGTCGGTTATGGCATCTTTATTCGCACATAGGATAACAAATTCGTACTGGTATCACAGAGTTGACCTCTCTGTATTTTTTTTTCGATTCGCTACGATAAGATTTAAAAGTTAATAAAGGACTGTGTGGTTGATTCAAATATAAAAGATTTAAAGATTACGTACTTTTTTTAACTGTCAGTGTTTTTAAAACTTGTATTATCTACTACGAATATTATCTTTTTAAATAATAACAAAATTTTAATTTTTTAAAACAAAACTTATATTTATATTTTTTTTAATTTATTTACAGATAAAACATTAAATAAACAGAAATACATAATTCGCCCACACATTATAAAAGACACGAAGAGCGCGGTCACTTAAATCAAGAAATAGTATCAGACAAAAAAAACAACGACTACGACGATAAAGAATAGATAATTAAAAAAAAAATAAACTTAAATAAATAAAATATCTTATGTTTAAATAAAACGGGGAAAAAATCAATAAAAATCGGAGAGTATTGATTAAATATTATACAAAAAAAATTAAAAAATAATAACAAAAAGAAAAAAAAATGACGACAGATATATCTGTAGTACGTTGGGATCCAAGTCAGGGTCCCGGCACCGAATATATTGACGAATACGAATACGATGGTGGTAATTCAAGTTCACGTCTATTCGAACGATCACGTATTAAAGCATTAGCAGAAGAGCGTGAATCAGTACAAAAGAAAACCTTTACAAAGTGGGTTAATTCACATTTAGTGAGAGTTAATTGTCGTATACAAGACTTATATGTTGATATGAGAGATGGTAAAAATTTAATGAAATTATTGGAAGTATTATCTGGTGAACGTTTACCTAAACCAACAAAAGGTAAAATGAGAATACATTGTCTTGAGAATGTTGATAAAGCGCTGCAATTTCTGCGCGAGCAACGTGTTCATTTAGAAAATATTGGTTCACATGATATTGTTGATGGTAATCCAGCATTAAATTTAGGTCTTATATGGACAATTATATTGAGATTCCAGGTATTTATTATTTTTAAAATAAAAGAGCAATTTCCGTTTTATATTTCAAATGTTTATCTTTTAAATATTTTTTAACTTAATATTTTTTAACTTAATATTTTTTTTATTTTAATGCATATTTCAACATTTATTTAATTATTCATTTGTTTCTGTTATTGTTTTAACACTGAATGTCTATCTTGTACACACTCATTTTTTTATTGTTAAATTGTTTACTAATTTTTATGTTTAATTGCATTTAATAAACTCAATTTCATACTATGTAGATTTTCATATACACAATACTGCAAAGATACGTAAAGATATTATATTTTTCACTATTCTAGCTCATAACAACTTACACTATGTTGCTGTAATTTTAACAATCTTTTGGAACAATTAGCAACATTTGTTTATAGACGTAAATATAGCGCAGTTTTCACTAAACTAAAAGACCTAACATTTTGAATGAAAATCTTTCACTTACCAAATACGAATACTTATATTGTGTAATGATACCTGTTATCCTGTAATTTCTATTTAGAAAGAGAAAAAACATTAATCTTTTAATTTTGATTAGTAAAAATTTCATTTACTTATAAACAAATTCATGTATTTATCCCCCCCTCCCAATTCAAATAATAATCAAATTTTAAAGATATTATAAGCATAACGAAAATGTGCACAATTATTAAACTTATCAAAAATTTAATACGGTAAATTGCAGCATTTAAAGTTATACCTTTGCTGTATCATACTTATGTATATTTAAAAGCAAATAATCTCTTCTTGCATGTACGAATATTTGCCTTATGAATTTTTCAACTCTGCTTAATTGTTTACATATAAAAATTTGATACAGAAAACTAAAAAATCTGGAAAATTCTATTCACAAAACTTTATTATTAAAAGCTTATACTTATTGAAACTTTTGTTAAACGTAAGAGTAATTGAAAATGTAAAAATATTTTATAACTTATTTGAATTCTTGCATGTTTTTTGGTTTTGGTTTATATTATACTTTCTTTTTTTTAATTTTCAAACATATTAATATTTGATATCTAATTTTTTTTTGTATTTCTTATTAATTTATAGTTTTAGAATAGTTTTTTTAAATTAAAGTGAATATTATTTTTTACAAATGAATATTTTAGATTCAAGACATCACAATTGAGGAAGTTGATAATAAAGAAACGAAATCCGCCAAAGATGCGCTATTATTATGGTGTCAAATGAAAACTGCCGGCTATCCAAATGTAAATGTAAGAAATTTCACAACATCTTGGCGTGATGGTTTAGCATTTAATGCAATTATACATAAACATCGTCCAGATCTAATAGCATTTGATCGTTTATCAAAAGCAAATCCAATGCATAATTTAAATAATGCATTTAATGTAGCCGAAGACAAATTGGGCCTAATAAAACTTTTGGATGCTGAAGACATATGTGTCGATCATCCTGATGAAAAATCAATAATCACATATGTTGTTACATATTATCATTACTTTAGTAAACTCAAACAAGAAACAGTACAAGGTAAGCGTATTGGTAAAGTTGTTGGCATTGCGATGGAAAATGATCGTATGGTAAATGAATACGAAACATTCACAACTGATTTATTGAATTGGATCGAAAGTACAATAACAGCGTTAGGTGATCGACAATTTGAAAATTCATTGGTAGGTGTACAAGGCCAATTATCACAATTCGCAAATTACCGTACAGTCGAAAAACCGCCGAAATTCGTTGAGAAGGGTAATCTGGAAGTTTTATTGTTTACATTACAATCCAAAATGAGAGCAAATAATCAAAAACCGTATACACCAAAAGAAGGTAAAATGATATCTGATATTAACAAGGCGTGGGAACGTTTGGAAAAAGCTGAACATGAACGTGAATTAGCATTACGGGAGGAATTGATTAGACAAGAAAAACTCGAACAATTGGCAGCTAGATTTGATCGCAAGGCATCAATGAGAGAAACGTGGTTATCAGAAAATCAACGCTTGGTTAGCCAAGACAATTTTGGTTTCGATTTGGCAGCAGTTGAAGCAGCAGCTAAAAAACATGAAGCTATTGAAACTGATATTTTTGCTTATGAAGAACGTGTTCAAGCTGTTGTAGCTGTATGCGATGAATTAGAAAGTGAAAGATATCATGATATTAACAGAATTACACAGCGTAAAGAAAACGTACTAAGATTATGGAATTATTTATTGGAATTATTGAAAGCAAGACGGCAGCGTTTAGAAATTTCGATGCAATTACAACAAAACTTCCAAGAGATGCTTTATATTTTGGATAATATGGAAGAATTAAAACAACTATTACTTACTGATGACTATGGTAAACATTTAATGGGTGTTGAAGATTTATTACAAAAACATTCACTGGTTGAAGCTGACATTAATGTACTAGGTGAACGAGTAAAATCTGTAGTCCAAAATTCACAGAAATTCTTAAGTGATGACATTGATGCATACAAACCATGCGATCCAGAAATTATCGTTAATCGTGTTCAACAACTTGAAGATGCTTATGCTGAGCTTGTACGATTAGCTGTAGAGAGACGTCAAAGATTAGAAGAAAGCCGTAAATTATGGCAATTCTATTGGGATACAGCTGATGAAGAGAACTGGATTAAAGAGAAGGAGCAGATTGTATCCACAGATGAAATTGGTCACGACTTAACAACAGTAAATCTATTATTGAGCAAACATAAAGCACTAGAATCGGAGATTCAGTCACATGATCCACAATTACAAAATGTTGCTAAAGTGGGTGCTGAATTAATTACCGAAGGCCACTTTGGTGCTGACCGTATTAAAGAGCGTCTGAAAGAAATTTTAGGAAAGTGGGACAATTTATTGGATATAACGAAACTACGTAGACAACGTCTTGAAAACGCAGTTGATTTCTTCCAATTGTTTGCCGATGCCGATGATGTTGATAATTGGATGTTGGACACTTTACGTTTAGTATCTTCTGAAGATGTTGGACGTGATGAAGCTAATGTACAATCCCTCTTGAAGAAACATAAAGATGTTGCAGATGAATTGAAAAATTATTCGGAAGTTATTGATCAATTACATAAACAAGCTGATAAATTAACATTGAATGAACCAGAAAAACAAAAGGTATCAGAACGTTTAACTGCCATTAATAGTCGGTATAAGGAGCTCACAGAGTTATCGAAATTACGTAAACAACGTCTTCTAGATGCTTTAAGCTTATACAAACTTATGTCAGAAGCCGATGGTGTTGAACAATGGATAAATGAAAAGACCAAAATGTTAGACACTATGTCACCAGGTAAAGATATTGAAGATGTTGAAATTATGAAACATCGTTATGATGGTTTCGATAAGGAAATGAATGCAAATGCTAGTCGAGTTGCTGTAGTAAATCAGCTCGCACGTCAGCTATTACATGTTGAGCATCCAAATTCCGAGGAAATTTTAGCAAGACAAAATCATTTAAATCAAGAATGGTCAGATTTAAGAGAAAAAGCCGAATCTAAACGCGAAGATTTGAAACAAGCTCATGGTGTACAAACATTCTATATTGAATGTAGAGAAACAATATCCTGGATTGAGGATAAAAAACGTATTTTAACAGAAACTGACAGTTTAGAAATGGATTTGACTGGTGTTATGACATTACAACGTCGTCTTAGTGGTATGGAACGTGATTTAGCTGCAATTCAAGCAAAACTTACAAGTTTAGAAAAGGAAGCTGATGCCATTGAAGGTAAATTTTGTTGTAATTAGATAATAATTCTGACAATCTTCTGATAATTTAAAACAATTTTAGGTGAACATCCTGAAGAAGCTAATATAATTCGCGAACGTGTCGCCTCAATTCAATTAATATGGGAGCAATTAACACAAATGCTTAAAGACCGTGATTCTAAATTGGAAGAAGCTGGTGATTTACACCGTTTCTTACGCGATTTGGATCACTTCCAAACATGGTTAACTAAAACTCAAACCGATGTTGCTTCAGAAGATACACCAACATCCTTACCTGAAGCTGAAAAACTTCTTAATCAACATCAATCTATTCGCGAAGAAATCGATAATTATACAGAAGATTACAAGAATATGATGGAATACGGTGAACGATTAACATCTGAACCTACTACGAACGAAGACCCGCAATACATGTTCTTAAGGGAACGATTAAAAGCCCTGAAAGATGGTTGGGAAGAATTACATCAAATGTGGGAAAATCGTCAAGTCTTATTATCTCAAAGTTTGGATCAACAGTTATTCAATAGAGATGCACGTCAAGCTGAAGTTTTATTAAGTCAACAAGAACATTTCTTAAGCAAAGATGACACTCCAGTTAATTTGGAACAAGCTGAAAATCAATTGAAACGTCATGAAGCTTTCCTTACCACTATGGAAGCAAACGATGATAAAATCAATACCATTATTCAAGTTGCTGAAAGTCTTAAACAGAAGGAACACTTTGATGCTGACAAAATACATAAAAGAGCTGAGAATATTGTTAATCGTCGTGACGATAACCGCAATCGCGCTATAGAGCAACATGAAAAATTAAAGAATCAAGTTAAATTACATGAATTTTTACAAGATTTAGAGGAATTGACTGAATGGGTAGGTATAAAATACGTAAAACTTAAGTAACGTTTTTTTTTTTAAATTTTAATATTATGAAGAAAAAAAAAATTTAAAACAAAACCAAAAAACAAAATTTATTTTTGACAAAATTTTGATTACAAGAACGTTATTTTTGAAATAAATTAATTTCCCTTTATTGTTTATCAATTTTTTAAAATTTAGGTTCAAGAAAAATATGTTACATCACAAGATGAAACTTATCGTTCAGCTAAAACTATTCATTCTAAGTGGACACGTCATCAGGGCTTCGAGGCAGAAATCGCCGCTAATAAGGAACGTCTGTTTGAAGCTGAAAAAGCAGCACAAGAGCTTGTAAAAGAAAAGCCAGAGTTCAAAGAAATTATTGAGCCTAAGTTGAAAGAACTTGGTAAACAATTTGATGACTTAGAAAAACATACTAAAGAAAAAGGAGCTATGTTGTTCGATGCCAATCGCGAAGTGCTAGTTCAACAAACGTGTGATGATATTGATTCATACATTACCGATTTAGAAAAACAAATTATTAATACAGATACTGGTAATGACCTGACATCCGTTAATATTCTAATACAGAAACAACAAGTTATTGAAACTCAAATGGCGTTGAAAGCACGTGCTGTTGAGGAAATGGATAAGCAGACGGATTATTTACAAAAAACTGTACCGGACGAAGTCGTTGAACCAATTATTCAAAAGAAATCTGCTGTAGTTGATCGTTTTGAGAAAATCAAAGAACCATTACGTGAAAGACAGAAACAACTTGAGAAGAAGAAGGAAGCTTTTCAATTTTGCCGCGATGTTGAAGATGAAAAATTATGGATTGATGAAAAACTTCCAATAGCTAATTCGACAGATCTTGGTAATTCTCTATTTAATGTACATGTATTGAAAAAAAAGAATCAATCTTTGTCAACTGAAATTGATAATCATGAGCCAAGAATAATGACAATATGCACAAACGGTCGCAAATTGATTGATGAAGGTCATGAAGATGCACAACGATTTGAAGATTTAATTAAACAATTAACACAAAAATGGCAGGAACTAAAAGATGCTATTGAAAATCGTAAAAAAGCACTTGATCAATCTGAACGTGTTCAACAATACTTCTTTGACGCTCAAGAAGCTGAATCTTGGATGAGCGAACAAGAACTTTACATGATGGTTGAAGATCGGGGTAAAGATGAAATTAGTGCACAAAATTTAATGCGCAAACATGAGACAATGGAGCAATCTGTTGAAGATTATGCCGATACAATTAGACAATTAGGTGAAACAGCAAGGCAATTAACAAGTGAACAAATACCACAAGGTGATGCTGTAGCTGTAAAACAATCCCAACTTGATAAATTATATGCAGGATTAAAAGATTTAGCTGGTGAGAGAAGAGCACGTTTAGATGAAGCTTTACAACTATTTATGTTAAATAGAGAAGTTGATGATCTAGAACAATGGATTGCTGAACGTGAAGTTGTTGCTGGATCACAAGAACTAGGACAAGATTATGATCATGTGACGTTATTATGGGAAAGATTTAATGAATTCGCAAGAGATACAGCAGCTGTTGGTGAAGAGCGGGTTGCTAGAGCTAATGGTATAGCTGATGATTTAATACGAGCCGGACATTCAGATTCTGCTATAATTGCCCAATGGAAAGATAAATTAAACGAAATGATGGAAGATTTATTGGAGTTAATTGAAACAAGAAAACAAATGTTAGAAGCTTCAAGAGAATTACACAAATTCTTCCACGACTGCAAAGATGTTTTGTCACGTATTATTGAAAAACAACATGGTGTTTCAGATGAATTGGGCCGTGATGCTGGTTCGGTTTCGGCATTGCAACGCAAACATAATAATTTTATGCAAGATTTAATGACATTATTCTCACAAGTTCAACAGATACAAGAAGAATCAGCTAAATTGCAAAAATGTTACGCCGGTGACAAAGCTAAAGAAATAACAAATAGAGAGCAAGAAGTATTAAATGCGTGGGCTAATTTACAAGGAATGTGTGAATTAAGAAAAGCCAAATTAGCTGATACAGGTGATTTATTCCGTTTCTTCAATATGGTCAGAACTTTAATGTTATGGATGGAGGATGTTGTTAGACAAATGAATACAACAGAAAAACCAAGAGATGTTAGTGGTGTTGAATTACTAATGAATAATCATCAAAGTTTGAAGGCCGAAATTGATACTAGAGAAGATAATTTTTCAGTCTGCCTTGCATTGGGCAAAGAGTTATTAGCAAGAAATCATTATGCATCAGCGGATATCAAAGACCGCTTACTACAATTGACAAACAGTAGAAACGCATTATTACATAGATGGGAGGAAAGATGGGAGAATTTACAATTAAGTGCGTTTTCCTTCATTTGTTTTTATTTTCTCTAAATTATTACTTGATAAAAAGTATCCTTTAAATTAAAATGCATTTTTTTTCATTAGTTTTGGAAGTATATCAATTCGCTCGTGATGCTGCCGTTGCGGAAGCATGGTTAATAGCCCAAGAACCATATCTTATGTCAACAGAATTAGGACATACAATTGATGAAGTTGAAAATTTAATTAAGAAACATGAAGCATTCGAAAAATCTGCTGCTGCGCAAGAAGAACGTTTTAGTGCTTTAGAGCGATTGACCACGGTAAATTACTTAAGTTTTTAGAACTATAAATTTTTGGATAAAAAATTAATTTTTATATCATAAATAAAAAAGTTTGAGCTCAAAGAATTGAAGAGAAGGCAAGAGGCTGCCGAAGAAGCTGAAAGACAGCGTTTACAAGCTGAAGCAGACGCAAGAGCTGCAGCCGAAGCTGAAGCTGAAGCTAAGCGACAGGCTGAATTAGCTAGGGATCAAGCTGATGCTGCTGGTTCTCCAAAGAGAGAAGGCGGTAAGTGAAATTATATTTTTACTATTTACGTAAACCTTATATTATTAAGAAAAATGAAGAAAAGTAATAACTTACTTTTGATTTATTTATAGTTAAAATTATAAATAATGAAAAGAAGAAAATTAAAATGATTTATGCAAAAAAGAAAAAAGCAATTTCAACACTTGAAAAAAATTAAAATATGAAAATATTTATATAAGCTTTATTTTACATATTTTTTTTTATTTAAATACTTGTAAAAATAATATTAAAATTAATTAAGCTTAGAGGAAAGAAAAACTAAAATTTCCAAAAAAAAAAAAAAAAAAAAAAAGATCTAACTATAAAAATTTGGCTAACAGTAATTTAAAAATTCATTATTCATTTCCTTTGTTATAATTATAAAAAATATGAAATGGTGCTCCTACATTAAGAGAAAATTAGTTTTACATGCATATAGATTTGACGTAAATTTGATCACATGGTTTTATATTAATCAATTGAATTTTTGATTTTATTTTTAGTATTTTCATTGTGATTAAAATTATTGAATACATATGCTTATAATTTAAAAACAATTCACAAAATATTCCAAACTGGAATTATAATAAATTTAATTGTTGGCCATTAAATTTATTATAATACAAGGTCCATCATAATTTCCTCTGGAAATCACATCACATTCGATCTTCAACTCCTTCCAAACTTATTAAAACAATTTCAACTTGGCATTTTAACAGAAAATATCTACACACGTTTTGCCTTTTATAAAATTACCGGTATTACTTTTTTTATTTCAATCTAGTACAAGTAATCGTTTTTAGTGCAGTATGTTTCTCGAGAACTTCGGATTTTTTATAGTAAAAAAAAAGTTGGATTAAAAGAGAAGTTGGAAAAGATTTTAGCCACTCTTCAAGTTCATAAAATCCAGTAAATCCAAAGAAATAAAAGCAATACTCAAAAATTTAATATATATTACATTGAACATAATGAATATTAATTACAACATCCATGTTTTTATCGTATTGTTCACATAAGAGTCTTGTTGTTAAACAAAGTTAATAATTAAAAATTAATAGACTTTTACGTCAGATTAATAGAAAATCATTGAAGAGAGATTTTTACATAAACATAAGTCTTCACACAAATTGAAGGTAAATGTGATGGGAGTTCTGTAGAAAATCTTATCACATCCGTGATAAAAATTACAAAAAATGAGCGTAATTGCAAATACAAAATTTTTTTTTTGTATCAACAAATTGATTTTTTAGTCCCAAGTAGAGTAAAGATTAAAATAATTATAAAAATAAATGTTAATTATCGTTTTACTTAATGAAGTAATTTTACTCTTAAAATAACTTCATTAATTGTCCTTAAAATAAATACTTTGTTCTTAACATAGGGGCACCCTTCTGAAATACAATAATGTTATTATATAAAAACTTAAAATCTAACGCTACTAATTCTTTCTTTCTCTTTTTTTAATTGGATATTTTCTGTAAAACACGCTGCTCTATTGCTCTATACATAACAAATCAAATAAAACTGTGTGGTAATTCGTTGCCAAAAAAATTATTTCAATGTAATTTATGTAATTTATGCGCGCATTTAATTTATTAAATATAATGTTTCTCCTTCATATGTATATAAATATATATTATTTAATTGGTTATTTGGAATTTCCTGTTTTTTTGTCAAAAAAAAAATAAATTAAAAATATCAATTATTGGAATATTGTGAAATGATTTTTCAAAAAAAAATATTTTTTTATGTTATTCTCTTCACCTTTTTTCGTTATAAATGTGTGCTAAAATTATGAAAAAAAAATTGAAATAACATATATGTAACAGTTGCTATAAGAGCTGCATCACCTGTAGAAAAAGAAGGTCCAGTTTCCCAAACAGGTATACCTAACATTGAACATAATCTTTTTGAAATAACTTTTTAAAGAAAAAATAATTTTTATATTCATGTTTTAAATAAATTGTTAATTACGAAATTTTTATTTTCGTTTTCTATAATTTTTATTTTTAATAACTTATGTTTGATTAAAATTTAATTTTCCTTTTTTAAGAATGAATTATTTTATGAGTATTTAGTCAATTTTTTAAATACTACTTTCATAAATTTTCATATAATTTAAATATTCTTTTATTTCGCGTATTTCTTATTTTATAAATTTTATTGTCTAATGATTTTCACATATGTTTAGATTGATTAAAATTTAAAAAAAAATCACTACTAAAATACTCGTAAATTCTTCATTTTGGCAAATTTAATTTTTTAGTAAACGAGAAGACAAAAAGAAATTTGTGTAAACATTAACTGTTAAAATTAATTAACTGTTTCAAAGAAATTTGTGATTTCATATTAGAAATAATATTTAGTTGAGTTTCTACTCTAATTAATATTGAATTTAATGAAAATCGTTTCTTTTAAAACTTCCAAAAAACATTACGTTTTCGTAAGAGATAATTTCTTCTCTAGTAGGGAAATTGCATTACATATCAAGCAAAATGAAAAAGCTTGTTTATATTCAAATGAACAATTTAATAATTCAAATTCATAATTAATATCATTCAATTCAATATATTTTTACAAAATTCCTAAATAATATTTCAATGAGTAAATGTTTTAAAGAGTTTTAGTACGAAAATTTCATATTTGGTTTGAATCAATTCTAATAAAATGTTAAAATTAAAATATTATTTGCAAATATTATGGATTTTATATTTAATATAAAAAAGAGCCACCGTATGAAAAATGTTAAGTTACCTGTTTATTTTTTTTGTTTGTTCTGAATTTTAAAAATTGGATATTTAAATGATTTTTATGTTAAAATTTTTCTAAAGTGTATAATAATTTTTTGTTTTTTTTTTTTGTTATTTGAAATCTATTTTTTTTAATAAAACTAAAACTACACACAAATACACGCTGTTTTTATTAGTTATTTCTTTATTTATTGAACGAAAATAGTTCACCAATATTTGTTTGCAATATTTTTTATAATATATTTACACTATATATATCTTATAAAAAATTTCAACGTGTTTAATAAAACAAATTATATTATTTTTGCGCTTTTCCACTTAATACTTTACAAAAGAACTAAGAAAAAAAATAAATTTCTTGTTTTGTTTTACTTTTAAACTTTTATTTATAATTTGTAAAATGCACAGGTGTATTTTTTTATTTGTTAAAAAGTTTTTTTCTAGCTTGAATTCTTGAAAATAAAGGGCCAAAAAATTTTTTTTTTTTTTTTAAATGAATTTATTTTTCTGAAGCGTTTTTTGATTTTAATTATTGAAATTTAGATAAATTAAAAAACAAAAAACTTTAAATTAAATTCACTCAATAAAAAAAAGTAAATAAATCAACATTAAATTTTCAAAACATCCAGTAATAAATTCTAAATATTAATAATTTTATTAATAATTTTATAGTACACTACAAGTTCTTTCACATAATTTTATAGTTTTTATTTAGTTTAAGATAGTATTTTTTTGATTTAAAATGTAACAAAAATATATAAATATGTATTTATGCAATATTAATAAATTCGTTACCTTTATATTACATATATGAAATATGTATACATTTAGGTGTATACTTTTAAATTATGTTTCGCATAAGGTGGCTAATAATTTCAGGGATGATTTTTTGATAATTTTCCAGCAAAAAATTGTATTGGTGCGAATATACTCAGTTTCGAGCTACCGCCCGTTGAAAAAGAAGGTACCGAACTTTTCCTGCATATAAACAAATGCTTATAACTTCGGAACCATACAACATAGAGTTATCGTCCCTGAAATTATTTGCCACCTGTATATAACAATATCTAAGTTTTTTTTAAAATAAAATCAAAAGCTTAAATCTAACTATATAATACTATTATAATATTCATATAAATTTTATCATACAAAAAATATATGAAAATAATATAAAATTAGATTTTTTTAATTTATTATTTATAACATATCCACCATATTTCATTTTTATTTAATAGTTTTATTGTAAATTGTTTAATGATTTTATATAACTTTGCATTTCATTAATATTTTGTGCTGTAGATAGAAACATAATACATACATTTTACTTAAATGTTCTAACTTATGTATGTTTTAAAAAAACTATTGTTAATACTGTCATTTTATGTTAACATTTAAATACATTTGGTATCCAAAAATATTGTCAATTTGCAAGTTAACTTTAAAGTTAACTTTAATTTTTTATATTTTATGTGTTTTGTTTTTTTAATAATTGTAATATTTTAAACATACGCTTAGCTAGGCACTATTCCTCTTCAAAGGGTATTTTGATTTAGAATATTATGTTGTTATTTGTTTTTTCTTTCAATTGTGTTATGTTTGAAATCCCGATCCTCCTTAAAAAAGGTAAGAGAAAGAATTTATACTTCTGACATTTTTAGTATTATTTTAATTTTATGATAAATAAATTCAACAAAAGATAAAATGTTTTTCTTTTTTGACATTCATTCATTATAATAAATTTGTAGTTTTTTCCTTTGGTTTCCCTTTAATTTAAAATTATTTCATGAGCTTATTCCAATATTTTTATTCATTTTTTTTATTATTTCGAATAAATAATGATTTTATTGAAAATGATTAAAGGAAAAAGAATATATTCTATTCTATACATCATGTATTGTTTGTTTAAAAAAGTTATGTACTCGTACATAAACAAAAAATTTCGAGAAAATTACTTCATATTTACAAACACACATAACATTATATTATATAAAGCAACAAACTTCTAATATTTTGTATAATAATTCTTAAAATGTTGCGCTCTTTTTTATGGTTTTGCCAATAAACTTAATAAAAGCACCGAAGTGTTTCAAATAAAATTTAATATTGGGCTATTGGTAATACTGTATTGGTACATAACATCTATTGGACTTCGATGTATACAATTTTTTTAGTAAAGTAGGATTTAAATGCAATTAATTTATTAAATTAATTGAAAATTGTATGACAACACAATGTCATAAAAACGAATTATGATTCTCCAAATTTTTAATTGCGTTGACTATTCTCGGTCAAGGGAAATTTTATAATTTCATAATTTTAATAAATTATTCTGGCATTAATTTACAAACAATCTTAAAATTCCCTTTAAGCAAATTTAGTTTTCTCGAAATTTTGAATTGTCTTAATTTCGTTTAAGTACTTTTTAAAAATTAAAAAAAAAAATTATTTTTCATTCTATTTTTATTTTCATTTTTCTTTCTGTTTTGAACATATTTTTTTTTTTTTCTTTAAAATTTATTTCTTCTCTTCCTCTTTCTTTCTCTATATACATATATTTGTGCGGATTCTTTCTTTTTTACTTAAAATGTTAAAAGCACATATAAGAATATTATCACCCCAGGATTCAACAAAAAGATATTCAAGTGGTCAATTCTCGTATCCTGGTGGCTATGGTAGTAGTGTCACTAAGCGTTATTCTTCAAGTAAGTAAAATAATAATTGTGTAACAAACAATAATTAAAAATTATACAATTGTTTGAAATTTAATATCTAAGAAATCAAATATTTTGCTATGAAATTGCGTATTTCCTTGGTAAGCAACTTCTCCTAAAATAATTTAATTTTTTTTTAATTTAATTGATTAACTATATTGAATTACTGTATTCAATTTTGCTATTGCTATATGGAAAGAAATTTTGTAAAAATTTGTATTGAAGTATATAAAATCTAGAAATTTTGATTTGAGAATATTACACATAACGTGATTAAAAATATTTGTTCATAATGTTAGTAAATTTATATTTATTGTTAGTAAATAGTAAAATTTCAATTTATTTCATTAAAAGCTTTCCTTCTCTTTTATTCTGACTTTTAAAACTTTTCAAATTTTGCGGTAAAACAACCAATTTCATTTGAAATAAACAGGAAATTTGCAATACTATTTTGCTCGTTTAATCATTAAACAATTTAATAATCAATAAGAACAAAAACCCGCCAAACGCCCAAACCCCATGCAACATTTTTTAGTTTAAATGTCTATTCGTAGGGTATAAAACCCTTGATTAAATTGAGTGAACTTAGTACTTAAAAGGTATGTAATGTTAATAATAATACATTAAACGTGATCTGATTGCTTTTTATGAATAAACGAGATTTTACTATTTGTTAATTTTTTAAGATTCAAATTATTATTTTTTAATGTTTTTGTTTGGATACCAAAATATTTTTTAACTTGAACTTTTGTGCATGCACTTTATTTTTGTTTTATTATTATTTCAAAAACTAACAACATAAAAAAATTGTGTAAAAAAATAAAATTGGGTTATGGACAACTCTATCAATAACTTCTTCAACTACAATTCTTTAAATGCCTCAACTATGCTTAATGGACTCAAAATCGGGGATTTTTGTATTTCTGGCGGAAATTTTCCGAAAAAAATTCAAATCCTGCATTTAACATTTGTATATATATATATGGTGAATCGCCTTTTTGATGCAAAACCCTACATCAAACAATATTATTAAAACAAAATTAAAAAAAAAAAACATCTTTTTTTTTGTTGATGGGATAAAATAAAAATGGTGAAATGTTCTAAAATTAAAATTTTTTTCTTAAAACAATTGAAAAATATGAATTCTGATGATCAATAATGATTTTTGAAAGAAATTGATAAGAATGGTCTCTTGACAGCTGTTTCCTTACGTCATTCAGCAACACCAATTATGGTTGGATCTGGTAGTGTTGGTGGTAGTGGTGGTAGCACACCAACATCGCCATTTATTGATAGTGGGGGTAGCAGTAGTAGGGGTGGGACATTACGCATTGGAAGGCGATCACGTTCAAAAAGTCCATTCAGAAGTTTCAGATGGAAACGTAGCTCAAAAGCGGGTGATGATTCTGACGATGAAGGTAGAAATTAATAAAAATACCAAAGTATTTTTTATATTTTTGTTTTTGTTAATTTGTTTTTTTTAATAATTCAATAAATAGTTTGTGTTTTTTAATATATATTTAATATATAATTTAAACATATTAATAAAATATATTTACTTCGTAAAAAAGAAAATTGAATAAAAAAACAATTTTATTCCATTTTCTTTTTTCGATTATACTTTTCTAATAATTTACACGTTTTTTTTTTTTGAGAAGTATTTAAATTAAGTATATAATAGCATGTAAGTCTTTTCTTTTAATTATAAGAGTTAAAAAAAGTTGGTAAAATATAAACAATTTTTTACCATCGCATAACATTATTCTTTTAAATTAAATGTATGTTTATTTCTAGTCATTTAATTGTTAATTCAATCATTATTTATTTTTTGTAGTACGTATGTAGATGTTTTGTTTGTTTTTTTGAAACATATAAACATTGTTTTCATCATTAAAATTCATTAAGATTTTTTTTTTGTTAATTCATTTCAAAAGTTATTTTTGCCTTTTTGCCTTTTTTTTTAATAATAATAATAATTTCATTCTTTTGTCTTTTTTTCTTTAATTGATAGATGTTTTAAATAAAATAATTATCGATTGACTAATAATCAAGTATAATAATATTTAAATATTGCACGAATATAATAACCAAAATAAATAAGTCAATTGCAGAATAATTTACAAATCTTAAGTGAGATTCTGATATCCTTAAAAATATGTATAGTTCAATAAATATTTTTAAGGAAAAGTTTAATGTAATAGAAAAATTTTGATTTTAGGTTATTTTTTAATCCTTAAATGTTGTTGTCTTCCTAATTCCATTGAAATGAGATTTTTCTTTTGTTTTATTTCTCTTAGTCCTAGGACACTCCCATTCGGATCCTTGGGATTTAATTATAGGTCATCGAGATAGTAAGAATTTTCATTTGAAAAAATTTTTTGTTTTCAGTCTTTATTGTTTTTTAGAATGCAGAGCGATATAGTAACGTAGTAAAGAAAATTATAATAACAAAGAATTGAAATAAAAAAGATTTAAGCTTTTACTAGGGGCATTTTTTTATCTTTTTTTTTTTGTTTAAATATCAGCACACCACAATATATAGTTAAAGAAACATTATTTTTCAATTTAATTATTGTAAGAACTTTTATTTATAATTAATATTTTTTTTTTCAATATAAGTTTTGGTTTTAGTTTAATATTTTAACGAAAAAATTTGTATAATTTTTATTTTAAGTGCTTTAAAGTTAAAATATTTTAGTTTATTTGAACAAAAAAAAGAAACGGAATAAATTTTAATTTTTGTAAAAAAAATATTTAGTTTAGTTAAAAAAATTACTTTTTTCTAATCTTAATACTTTTTTTTTATTTATTTGGTTTTTTTGTTCTACTTTTTAAAATAATTCATGTAAAACCATGAAATTAATTCAGAACGAACAACACCTGGTTCCGAGGAAGGTGTTGAAGGTACATTAACAAGGAAACACGAATGGGAATCAACAACCAAGAGATCATCAAATCGATCATGGGACAAAGTAATTCTTTTCATTTTCTTTTTTTTTTATAAATTATAGCGTATATGTTATAAATATGGCGTATATGTTTAATAATATATATAATGTAATAATAATTATATATATATATTCAACTTAATATTTATTTTAGGTATATGTTGTAGCACGTGCTGGTCGTATAACATTCTTTAAGGATCAAAAGGCATCGAAAGCTGTACCAGAACAAACGTATCGTGGTGAATTACCATTAGATTTACAAGGTGCAAATATTGCTATTGCTAGTGACTATACAAAAAAGAAACATGTCTTCAGAATCAAGTAAGTTAATATTTTTATACTTCTAGTGTTCTTCTATACTTTTATACTAGACTTAAAGTGATTTTTAATATAATATAAAACACATACTAATTGTGTGTTAAGGATTTAAAAGGAATTTCTTTAAGTTATCACGCAAACTAAATAAATAAACATTATATTTCATATATATTTATGTTCTATTGGTCATGTAGCTATCAAAATTATAACATTGCCTCTGCGGCACGTATTGTTACATTTTTTGTTTTAGTTCCAACAACATACATTTGAAAATTCAGGTTCGTTGCAGCTTTCCATGCGGTAATTTTGGAATTGTACATAATTATCTATTGAATAAAAATTTATATTATAAAATTATTACAATTCCTATTACTAAAATTCGATTCAAATTTTCTCTTTCATCAATTGCTTCTTAATACATATTGACACAAGTTATTACTTGATCAATAATAAATTTTCATTATTTTACAGTTTTATAGAAACACAAAATTTTATTGAATTTTATTTATTATAAATAATAAAGTAAAAAATTTTGATAATTTTGTAATTTTTTATTGTTTTTATTTTCTCTTTTTTCATGTTTTTTTTCTACTTATGTGTATAACAAATAGATTAGCAAATGGTGGAGAATTCCTTTTACAAGCACATGATGATTCAGAAATGAACCAGTGGGTGGGTGCCCTTAAATCGCAAACAGATAGTGCAACAAGTGGTGAAGGACGTTCAATGACATTACCAGCATCATCACAAAAGGATGAACCAAAGAGACGATCCTTCTTTACGCTGAAGAAAAAGTAAATAAACTTTAAAAATATATTAATATATAGATTGTTTTTCATTTTTTAGTATTTTAAGATTAAAAATTGAAAAAGAAAAAGAAACTTTTTTTTTATTAAATCTAAATTTAAAAATAAAGAAAAAACCAAACACAATTTATTAAATTTTACTTTACGTATTGAAAATGAAAAAAATGCATTCATTCTAATTTATTTAAAGTAACTATAATAATTTATTAATATCTAATATAATAAATAAAATTTAATTTGCATATAATTGTATTTATATAATTAATATGTAGGTACATTTACATAAAAAAATTTAATTATCATTTTAGATTGAAAATATTACAATTTTTTCTTGATTATCTATTTAGTGTTAAATATTTGATTCAACAAAACATTCAAATATTTTTAAAGGTATTGTTATAAACAATTGTATTGTATATTTTTTGTATAATATATTATACAATTGTATTGTATAATATATTATAAATTGTAACTCGGTACAGTTTGAAATCTAATATAAACTTTTAGTTTTTGAAAAAATTTAGTGAGAAAAGAGATATCCATAATTTAGATTCATCAAAAGATTAGTGAGTCTAAATTATGGATAAATAAATAATAACAATTTAAGATTAACATTCAATAAATGGTTTTTGAAGTTTTAATTGATAGTTAAAGTTTGATACACATCGAAAAATTTAATTCAGATTTTTACACCAATATTTTATTATTTTCAATCTAAAATATTAAATTATATATACATAAATATATTTACTCTATTTATTGTCGACCTAAAAGTGATTGAATGTATCTAGATTTTGACATTTTAACGCCAAAATAATTGTTGTAAAAATGCACATACGCTGTATTACTCAGTTTTTTGAGTTTATATGAAATATTTTTAAAAAAGGCGCCAAAAAAACCGTATCTGCTCTCAAACAAAAATTTTTAATGAAATAACGTATCTACACCGACTAAAAAGATAAGTAGGGATGATGTAAATTAAGTGTCACTTTAAAAAAGTTATTAGGAGTTCGATAACTTTTAATAAATTTTTAACTAAAAAAAAACATTTAGATATTTAAGGTGAAGCCATTTAATAAAAGCTGGACCAATCGCTTGTGAATTAAAAAAGAATTAACTTTGATTTCGTCCAAAACTATAACGAGAACTTGGTGTACCTATCGATTCGACTTGAACAGAAAGTGATGGACTCTTCTGTAAACCATATTAAGGTAATAAAATACACACCTGGCTGTCAAATAGAAATTAAATTTACTTTCCATTATGAATTTACTTCGATAGTAGAAAAAAAACAACAATCGCAATTAATAAGCTGGTAGACTTTAAGTAAATACATGAAGCGTCATTAAAAAGTTAACACAATAAATGGCTATATTCACACCCTTTAAAAACTAATATCAAAAAATTATATGATAATATTCCTCATTTTGAAAAAGATAATTGAATTTTTCCTAATTGTTATTAATTAAAGATATTAAATTTTTTTTATGCATATTTTGTGAATTAAATTGTTCATGTTTTGTTCATCGTAGATATTAACACTTCTCTACTTCCATAAATAGTCTCTTAGCGTAACTGCAAAATAATATAAAAATTATTGCTGTGACAAAATGAATCTAACAAGTAATATATTAGAATTAATTTTTTTTTTTTGTTTTTATTTTAATCACGCGTGAAACTGTTACTATCAAAAAACTTTGTAAATTAGTTAAATTAGAAATGAAATTAAAATAAAAGAGTTTTTTCTATCTTCTGAAAAGTGCGCAAAATAAGATACATTAAATCACCTATAGGTCGACGCTACATGAACAAATAAATAAAACAAAAAAAAAATAACTTTTGTCTGCCAATTTTATTGTCAAATATAAAATAATACAAAAAAAAATTAAAAAACAAAATGAAATGACTTTAAAATAAATATATGTACATAAATATATAAACATTACATATTAAACTGTTTTTAAAATTAATAAGAAATTATTTGCTTCTGTGCAATCTACAATATTATTTTTTTTAATATTATCGAGAATTGTATTATTAACTTTTCTAAATATTATATGTATAATTTTATGCATACACTCTATTCTTTTCACAATAATTGAAAAAATATTAATTCCCAATAATTTCTAAAGTATAAGTAAGAATACAGTAAAAAAGTTATTGGGTTGAATAATAATTTATTATATTAGGGATATTTTTCTTTTATTTTTACTGCAAGATACTATTTATAAATTTATTTTATTCATGTTCAACCAGGTTGTTTGAATTTTTTTTTAGTTAAATAAAAAATGTTTTAGAACTTACATGTTCAATATAACTTCACTCATTTTAATCTTACATCAAAAAAGAAATATTTTTTAAACATTTTATTATTTTGAGACTAGTAAAATTGAAACTCTAATAATCGAAATACAAAACAAAATTGTTTAAAAATATGAACATCTACCACAATGCGGATCTATCATCAATTTGATTTATTTAGCAATACAATTTCAATTACTGAATAAGCCAAATTGACTTTAGATCTACATTTTGGTAGAAATCCTATGTTTTATAATCATTTTTCAGCAAAATCATCGGTTTTTTTTATATGTAAGTCTGAAGCTTAAGATTTAAATACGAAATCGGTACAAAGGAAACGGTTTCAGTCTTTTAATAAAGAAAAAATTCTTTTAAATTAGCTTATGGAATATAAAATAAAACAGAGTTTGAATTAATTTTTAGAAAATAGTGAAAGAATTGTGATTAAGTTTTATAACATAAAACATAATTTATGTTTTTGAATTTCTAAAAAAAAAATTAAAATAAATTTCCAAAAAAAACGAGCATTTTTTTGTACATGTTTGTGTACAAATTTTTACATACAAACTATTTTTTTTAATTAGAAGTAAATTGATTGCTGAATTATGATTTCTGAGTTTAATTTGTTATCTTGTCCACAAAATATATACATATATTATTTTTATATTATTTTATTACTAATTAAAAACTTGACAATTTTGCTGCCTTTCTCTTACAATTAAAATTTATAGATTTTTTCTGATTATTTATATAGCGAAAATGACATTTCTTTGAAAAAAAATTTTTTTGTTTAATTTTTATTTTAACAATAATTTTTATTTTACTCGTAAATAAAATAACCCTTTTATAATAATTATTGAATTTTTTATGTACAATTTTATGTATAATTTATAAAATTTAATAAAATGAAAATACATATATGCATCTGAAATGTGTTCGATTTCCAAAAAAAAGAAATATAAAATTATTATGTAGCTACAATAATATTATACATATAGTAAAAGATAAAATATTTATAATAAGAAATAGTAAAGAAATTTAAGTAAAATTTTATCAATAAACGAATGAAAATAAATTGATAATAACATATTACATAGAAATATAAATATTTTGATTTTAAAATGCTTTTTGCCTTTGCCATCATTTTTATATTTAAATTTTTATTTAACGTTTTAGCTTCTTTGCCTTGTTCTTATTTAATAAATATACAAAAAAAAATTTTTTTTCTTTAAAACTTTTAACTTTTAGTAGATAATAAAAGTTTATTATTTTGCACTTAAGTAAATCCTAATTTTACAACGTTTATGTTTTGCTTTCGATAAAATGCAAAACATAATATTTATAAATTTATATGTTATTGATTGTACGTGCATTTAAAATGACAACTTCAACATGATAGTAAGCTAAACAAAAAATTAGATTTAAAATAAAATTCTTAAAAAGTATTAAACCAGTGTAACATTTTTTTTTACCTTATTGATGAAAAGAAAGAAAAAAAAAATTAAAACGTATATAAAATTTTTAAAAAATTAATATTGAAATATTAAACATAAAAAATAGTTTAAAAAGGAAAATACTCGCAAATATTTGAATTTCTCGTCGTGTGGTTAATTAAGACGTTTTTCAAGTTCCTTAATTGTACGTAATATATTCCTATAATACACATTTAGCAATTTAGTTATTTAATATCCGGTATTTATTTGATTTAACTACTTTACATATATAAATATATTTATACAGAGTGTTTCGCAGGAAACACTCATGGATGAATTTCATGGATGATTCTTTGATCAATTTCCATCAAAAAATTGTATGGTTGTGTTAATGTTAGTTTGTGTAAAAGTAGAATTAAGTGATCGGGGTGATAGTTACTTTATGTCGCATGGTTCCGAAGTTATAAACATTTACTTGTGTGCAGGAAAAATCTGGTATCTTTTTTGCTATAGGCGCTAGTTTGAAAACGAGTAAATAAATTTTAATCAACTAATACAATTTTTAGCTCGAAATTGATGAAAGAAGCATCCCCGAAATGCCACTTTATGCGAAACACCCTGTATATTAACATTTTCTTATGTACATTTAGCTTCAACTATCTAGATTTGAAGTATCAGAATTTCTCATTATACTAATACTAATTTATTTATTTTTATGAAATTATAATATACTCTTAACACTACTTCGTAAAATTAAAATATTTATGAATATTTTTTTTATTTAAAAACAATTTAAATATTAGAATCGAAACAATTTTGCATTTTTATATAGAAAAGTAAAAATAAATTTACACAATTTTTATAAGTCTAGAATAAAATATTTAAAAAAAATTTAACATTTACTGTGCATAGCATTTTCCGTATAATATGTAATTGTAGAATGTTTCACTTTTCAAACAAAAAAAAAAAGTAAAATAAGCTATCAAGATAATTATGACGATGTTGAATGATAAAATTTGAAATATACTATGTCTTACTTATTATTCTATGAAGAAATTAAAAAAAAATTATTGTAAACGTATACATGAATCTTTAATAATTACATTATGGTTTAAAAGAAAAAAGAAAATATGTTAATATGTGAATATATTAATATAATTAACATAAATTTATTAATATAACATTTATTAGTGCTGTTTACCTATTCTAAGGATATTTTACAAATTCTACAACTATCAAACTGTGCAACTTGCAAATTATACATTACTATAAAATTACATTTACAGTAATTTGATTTACGTTTTCAAAAATGGGATTATTTTAAAAATACTCGAAAAGTTTGCATCTAGTGATCTTATTCTTCTAGCCTGATTTTGATTACTTTAGAAAGTTAAACATTTTCGATTACTTTAAAAATTTGAATTTTCATAATAACAATAAGATTTATTGTTTTTCTAATTAGTTCTATAATTTTTTGAATAAAAAAAAATTTCTCAATTTTATTTTAGTTTATCTCATAAAAATTAGATACAAAAATCAAGTTAACTTTAAAAATTAAAGTTTCTTTTTAATTTTTCTCTTAACCATTAATTCCAATCAAAAAAGTATTACATATAATGAATGTGATAATTCGTACGACAAACTAAAAATGTAGAAAATAAAAGAAAATACATGCATTATTATATCTGAAAAGAATTTTTTGTTTTTCCAATTTTTCCACGTTAAATTCTGTTTTAATGAATTTAATAAGAATTTCGAAGAGGATTTAATATTTTTGTTAAAAAATATTTAAAGAGACAATAAATTGACAAGTTGCAAATACAAAATTTTTAATTAATAGATAAATACAAGTTATTGAAAAAATTCATGTAATACTTATAGTAAATAACAACAAGCTTGAATTTATTTTTATCTTGTCCTATTTAATATCAATTTTGACGTTAGACATTAGCGAATTTTCTAAATTTTGAAATATTTTATTTTTTTTTTTTCAAATAAGCCCTTAAAAATTTAAATATACATATAAATTATTTAATCTTATTGAGAATTTACATCGAAGTTAAATCAGAGAAATTGGAAAAATAATTTCTGTTGAATTAGTGTTGAAATAATATACATAATGCTACAGCCATGAAAAAAATGAAAATTTTATAATTTTATATGAAAAAGTGTTACATAATGTGTATCTAAAATTAAAATAATAACATTCAAAAATATAAAGGTAAGATTTTTTCGTTTTTAAAAAAGTAAAAAAGAAAAATTTTAAATTCACGTTGATTTTATGCATTTATAATAAATCATAATTTAAATATTTTTTTTAATTTTGTGTGTTAATTTCTCACATTTTACAATTTATTGTATTTTTAACATAACGACTTCTAATATGTACATATATCATTTTAATGCTAACGAACATTTATCATTTCTAATTAAAATCAGCAATAAAACATTAAAAAGAAATGTGCACGCACAGTTAACATTATATTTCTATTAAAATTAATTGAAACCAATTGAAAATTGTTACTATTTTCTAGATAGAATAAAATCATAATACATTTATATAATTAACATAATCGAATAATAAAGCAAATTAATTAAAATATTGTTGGGTAGCACTATAATCAAAATTTATAATTGTAATAAAAATATTTATTAATGTGCGTCATTATAAAAAGAACAAGCAAAATATAATAATGTGTTA